TTACGCAACACTGATTAACATGGAATGCTATACTTGTTTCCATGGTTACTCTACATTCATTTCCATAGTTACACAACACCTGTTTCTATGGTTGAACTATACTCATTTCCATGGTTACGCTACACTCGTTTCCATGGTTACACTACACTCATTTCCATGGTTACACTACACCTATTTCCGTGGTTACACTACACTCGTTTCCATGGTTACACTACACTTGTTGCCATGGTTACACTATGCTCATTTCCATGGTTATGCTACACTCATTTCCATGGTTACGCTACGCTCATTTCCATGGTTACGCTACACCTATTTCCATGGTTACTCAACACCTGTTTGTGTGGTTGAACCATACTCATTTCTATGGCTGTGCCTGTAGCAAAGAGTGTGAAGAAACCCCATTATAGGCTGAATGGCAACACAGGCCTGTATGTGAATATGATTGAGTAGATCAGGTGCGTCCAGTTCTACACCTGAAGTGCAATCAGGTGTGTTATAGTGGGTCAGTCTCCCATCTGTGCTGAACTAAAGCCCCCCAGGATGGAGCTGAATATCCCCCCATATACGGTATATACATTCTGTGTGTGTGTGAGTGTGTGTGTGTGTGTGTGTGTGTGTGTGTGTGTGTGTGTGAGTGTGTGTGTGTGTTACCTGCTGTCCACTCCTGTCTCTGTTTGCTGTCCGGTGCGCTCATTTCATACGTCTTATTGAGGGTCTTCACACAGAACATACACCTCTTCCCCTCCCTCTCAGGAAGAACCTGACACACGCACACACACACACACACACACACGCACACACACACACACACACACACCGTACAGTAAATTTTTGAACACATTAACACATTTTAAAAGTTTTTTGGTGTCATTTTGTAAATTTGTTTATCATAGAAGTACATCAAGTCTGCATATATATATATATATGTGTGTGTGTGTGTGTGTGTGTGTGTGTGTGTGTGTGTGTATCATCAAATATTTTACAACACCTTCAGGCATGACTGAGCATTAGCTCTAAAGGGGAAAGGTGAAAGGTTAAAGGTCAGTACCTCCACGCAGCAGTTGTTGTCGAGCTCGATGCTGCCCTTACTCTCCTTCCTGTCCTCGCTGGTGTAATAACACAGAGCGCTCGGCTTCAGGCAGAACCAGCGCTCCGTCCAGTTCCGCCGCAGGTGACCTTTCTTCCACAGGTAACCCTGGAACACATTCAGAACGCATCTGAGAACATCCTCCTCAAAGGGGAAGTACACAGAATTTTCTACATTCCAGCATAAAGAAGTTATTAAGATGTGAACAGAGCCGTTCAGAGCGGTTTGGTTTCTAGAGAAACTTCAGAACTGTTCACAGTGGTGGTGATAGGAACCAGACGTCCACCTCTAAAAGCTCCCTCACAGAAAGTTCCTACATGAAATGGTTATGAATTCACTGCCTGATGACTGAGACACTGTTTTATGATAGTTTAGAGAACTTAAACTCCATTCATGGTGGAGGGATACATGCAGGGCGCTGTGAGGCAAAATAGTCCCCAAAGAAAACTTATTATTTCAGATTTTCCACTATTTTCCATCATCAACATTCCATATAGACTCAGAAGACTCGTGTAGGTTCACTGGTGGTTCTGGATAGTAAATAAAATGTCTATATCTGTGTTGTAGTCATGGCGACCCCTGGTTCCTATCACCACCACTGTAAAGACATCTGAACCATTTTACACCAAACCACTCTGAATCTCTCTGATTACACCTCACACACTGAATACTGTGGGAATTTGGGGATTTTTTAAAAATCAATTCATTCAAGTTTTTCGTGCCTCTTTGAGGACGTTGCCGACGATCTCCCTGTAGACGTCCTCTATAGCCGAGCTGAGACGCTCTCTGTCCAGCCCTCGGCCCAAAATGCCCGCATTCACCAGCTCCAGAAAACTCCACACGTTCATCCCCTCCCGCACACACTCCTGACTCCAGAACTCCTCCAGATCCACACTGTTCAGCTCTACGTTCAGCACTGCGCAGATCTTCTTCAGCAGGTACTCCACCTGAGAACACATGCAGGCGCTCAGAGAGGAGCTACTGATCTCTGTGAACTAAAAAAACTATACGTTTTGTTGTAAAACACTGTTATAAATAATGTTCAGGTACGTTTTTCGCTCATCAAGGTACAAACAGTGTAAATGTTCCCTCAAAGCTCCAACAGTGGTTTTAAGGTCTGATTGTGAACCTTAAATAAGTTTCTCCAGGTGAAAAGTTCGTATTTGTACCTTTTCATAACCGAATGTTTTAAACAGAACAGTAAAATAAAAGCCTGGAGACGAGACGGGGTGTGTGGAGTCAGTACAGCTTAGAACATATCATTTCAGTGGATTATGGTTCAATTATGTTCCCTGACTGAAGGTACTGAGATGGAGCCTTGAGGGTTCCACCCCAGTGACCAGAGGAGCACCGACCCAGAGACAGTTTAGTACCTTTATTTCTGAGAGTGAACTTTTATTTCACTGTCAACTTCCATTTGTCAACAAAGTGGTTAAATTCTTGAAAACTGCCCAATCAGGATTGTTCTCTCTGTGCTATCTAGGTATGTTCAGCCGAGCTGCTCTCCGATTGGTCAGGCCTTCAGGAGCTGGACTGAAGTCCTTACACATTAGTTTAACTACCAGCATCCTTCTGGAGGTTCTAGATACATCCCTGACTGTGGAATGAATAAATCAAACACATGCTAATGTCTCTTCAATTAGCACTGTGCTAACTGCAGGCCTAAATCATCACTCGCCTCAAACTGTGCTGAGTTGTTTAACCACCTCTAATGGACTTGATGATGTAGTTTCTCGAGATTTATGACTCACTGTTATATATAAACATGGACTAAATTCAGGCCTCTGTGAGTCAAACAGTGTCGGAAACCACATAATCAAGTCCACTTCAAATCTAGGGTCATGATTTAGGCAAGCAGTTAGCATCATGCTAAATAAAGTTGTAGCTACATCAGCCTCATCAAACATGCCTTGGCTGATCATCTACATTTGGAGTTGGGGGGCGGAGTCAAACGGTCACTGTAAATGATCCTCACCTCCTCTGGGACCAGCACTAGCGGGTATTTGTCCTCTGTGAGGAAGTTAAAGAGGCACCACAAGCGTTCTGCGTCTTTATTGGACAGAACCGCGGTGCCATTGGTGTTGGGACGGTAATTCTTCTTAGAGCAGAGCGTCCAGCAGAGGGCGTCCACTTCCTCCTTTTCAAATGTCCCCTCCACAACCTGACAACACACACACACACACACACACACACACACACATTACAGCAGAAACAGAAAAACGGGCTATACGTAGCCTTAAGATACATCCTGCCTTATCCAGTATGAGTTTGTTGAGATAGGGCATGTATTTGCGTGTGAATGTACCTTATCCAGTATGAATTTGTTGAGGTAGGGCATGTATCCTTGGCTGGAAACAGGTCCGTCATCATCATCACTGAAGTGCTGCTCCAGAGCCGCCTGGTCGTGAGGAATCCTCAGTACACTGTACAGGTTGTGGGACAAAACCTGAACAATAGATAAATAATAAACAAATTACACATAATAAACCAAACAAACAGCAATGCACAGTGCGGGTTATGGGTGAACACCTAAACAACAAACAACACAATCAACAAAAGCACGCTACACCTACACAACCACACACAATAAACACTAGCTATAGACTAAATGGTAACACACTGTACAGGTTACGGGACAACACCTACATGACATAACAAACAACAAAGGCAGCAAACCAACAACACCTACACAAAAAACACCTCCACACCAATACAAACCAAACACCTACACACTGCACAGGTTATTGAAATGCACCTACACAGTAACAACACATTAAACACCTGTACAGCAAACAACAGTGCACAATATAACAACACCTGAGCAGTTACAGTAGAACAGCTGACGGTGTTTAACCAGTCAGCATGTGTGTGTGTGTGTGTGAGTGTGTGTGTGTGTGTGCGTGTGTGTGTGTGTGTGTGTGTGAGTGTGTGTGTGTGTGTGTGTGCGTGTGTGTGTGTGTGTGTGTGAGTGTGTGTGTGTGTGCGGTAGACTCAGACTCTGTAAAGCTGCAGTGCGTGACAGAGATTAACTGCTCAACAACACAATCACCAACAAACAGCTTCTCCATGTCGAGATGATGATGATCATTTCCTGCACAATTTAAAATCACTCACCTATTGACCAGTTAATACTTACACACACACTGTGCACCCAAAAGTATCTGGACAGTTGTTCTAAAGAGCACACTGACCAATAGAATAGAGCTCTGGATCAGCTGTACATGATCCTAAGGTCTCCATGTCCAGTGCCCAGCATGGGCTAGAGGGGTATAAAGCCCCCCAGCATTGGGCTGTGGAGCAGTGGAACTGTGTTCTCTGGAGTGATGGAGTTCCATCCAGTACCTTTGGGATGAGTTAATGATCCAGAACTGACCATCCAACATCAGTACCTTACCTCACTAATGCTCAATCAAATCCTCACAGCAATGTTCAACACCTAGAAGCCTTCCAGAAGAGTAGAGGCTGTTACTGCAGCACAGACTCACTATTAACACCTTCATTTCAGAAGAAACTCTGGAGTCTACAGACCTTCTGACGCTCGGAAAGCATCAACAGCCTTTCAGATCAAAGATTTACTGATCATATTCAGATACAGGGTTGGTAAAAGATCAATAACATTTGAAAGAACAAAAAAGAAAGAAAGAAAAACACACACTCTCTCTCTCTCTCTCTCTCTCTCTCTCTCTCTCTCTCTCTCTCTCTGTCTCACCTTCAGCTGTGATTTGGACACTTTCCCGCTGTCCTCCGTGTCCAGAGAGGTGAAGGCGTACCAGATACCCTTCAGTAGCTCCGCTCGGACCTCCATCCTACACTTCTTCTCCTCTCTCTCTCCTTCTCTCCTTCTCTCTCTCTTGTTCTCTTTTCTCTCTCTCTCTCTCTCCTCTTTCTCTCTTTTTTCTTGTTATGCTGTTTT